ATATTCTTTATAAAAGTTAAGACTCGTCCACGCCCTCCTAAAACGGCTCGTTCAAACACGCCCCCACATGTCTACGTCACGATGTGGGAAGATTTGCATAACACCGCCCAAATGTTCACGCAAAGAAAGAAGGCATAACTTTATTGTTGCTGCCAATGCTGCCGCCATGTTGTGAAGACGCTGTGTGTTTCGTTGTGAAAGCGAAAATACTTTTTTTGGCCTTCCAAAAGAGGACACGACTAGAAATCAGTGGTTGAGTTGTATTTACAACACTGTTCCAGAACAGTTCAACCCAAATATTCAGATGTGTGCAGCACATTTTATGGAGGACCGTTTCCTGATCCTGGTAGAGTAGACTACAATGCCGGCTGTTCTGACTCACAGACTGTAAGTACGTTTTCATATTTAAAGAATTTGCCACTCACAATTCAAACGCGAGCTTTGAGCAGTGTAGAGTAGCGCTTGTTGTTTGTCATTTCTCCGATCACAACTGCAGACATGGTTTTATGTTTACGCGGCGCGATGCAGACAGTAGAAGTCATTATAATCTGTAATTATGTCCCCACTGGATGCAACAAATGCCTCGTTTGTAATGGGTTTTAATGTTTTTGTCTCGTCGCTCCGGGACACGGCATCACAATATGGTAAGGGGCGTAACATTTCCGTCACACGCTTGAAGTATCCTAGCAGAGCTCTGGAGAGCGGAGGCTTCAGCAGAATGACTCTCTAAAACGAGAAGAGGCCTAACCACACTCAACCCTAGTTAAAGAGCTCTTAAGAGTGGAGGTCTCAGCAGAAAGACTCTCTAAAGCGAGAGGAGACCTGGCTACATTCAAGGCCAGAGACGGTTAGTGAGGCTCACATGAGAGCCTACATACTAATGTCACTGTCTAAGCGGATCTCTGGAGAGCGGAGGCTTCAGCAGGATAACTCTCTTAAAGGAGAGGAAGGCTGACAACACTCACCAAAGTAAAAACACATACTCACTGTCAAACCCGGTACCAGACCATCAAAAGTATTTTCATCATTGATCCAGCCCCAGAGTCTGATCCTGGAGGGGTTGGTGAGGAGAAGAATGAGGGCTAATGTTATCCCTCAGCAAAATGGAAAGGGAAGTGGGTGCATGTTATCTACCCGCACCAGTTCCAGATTGCTGACTGTGTCTGCGCTTGATAACTTCCCTTAGATCCTTTTTCTTCTTCCTCAACTCACGCCTTCTCTGTGTCCTGCTCCTCTAAGGAGGAGGGCCACGAGTGGCCACATTAATCACCTGGCCCTGTCTTCGGCCCGCAGACCAGGCCAGGTCCCCCCTCGTGTTTTGGCATAGACATAGACCGGCATGGTATAAATGATTTGTAGGCTGCTGAGCGTACCTTCGCCTCCTTGAATTTATCGACCACCGCCTCAGCAGATGTGCTGAACAATTCTGAAGGAGAAACCAGCGCATCAAGAAGAAAGCACTTGTCTTTCTCCATGATGTCTGCCAGGTTCACCCACAGATGTCTCTCAGTGGCCACCATTGCCGCCATCAACCTACCGATTGCAGCAGCTGTTTGCTGATCTTATGAAGATCAGGAAGTAATGGGAGGCTCAAGGGAGCTGGGCTGTTTTGTCCGGATAAAAATCGCTCAAGTCTACAGCGAGCAATTTCCCATTTTCCACCTTGGCTGGAAGCCAGCAAAGCACTTCCTGCTGGATCAGAGGATGTAAGTGACAGCACATCCTCATCCAGCAGTTCACCCTCATCAGCCACTGACAAGAGTCAGAGATTTATACTCAAACTCATCAACAAGTGCCATCTGAGACCCCCACGATCTCAGTCTCCTCGCTGCCTTGGCAGCAGCAGGACCATAATCGCGGGGGGCAGATTATTGTCCCAGTTCCCTTGAGAAGGGGGACAAATGAAAGCAAAGCTTTCTCATTGAGAAACGCTCACAAATGAACAAACTCTGTCCCCTCAAGAACAGAGCGTGGGTGTTCTTCACCCAAACACATAACGCAAAGGTCGTGTGTGTCATCAGTTGTCAGATAGCACTGACATGGATCTGCACACTTCCTAAAACGCCTTTCAGTAGACATCGTTTTGCTAACCCTTACACACTTCAGATCAAACGACCCTGAAGACAAAGAAGAGGATGACATGTTCCTCCGGTGCACTTTTATACCCGCAGTCGCACCATTACTGACGTCATAGGCTGCCGTCTGCCAATGTCAAGTGCATTGTCGTGTTTACATTCAAGCTGGAGGCATTCCCCATAGCACCCTCTAAGGGATGCACCAAGAGTTCCCTTTTGAAAGGGAATCTCCCCCTGTGGCTTTTGCAAATAGATTGATGAAAGTTCATTAAATGGGTGACAATTCAAGGAAACATTAGAGTTATAATTTAGAGTTTTAAGTTAACTGTGCATAAAGGAAAATAGTTTGAGGAAGAAATGAAATGAAAGAAGAAATTAAAATGAGTTTGACATGTAAGATAATGAGGTCAAGTTGTTTGGTTTCAGGAAGTTTTTATCATTATTATTTAACATTATACCCTAAACTTTCAGTTCATTAAGAAAATATAGCCACATAATTAATGAACTAGTTGTGTAAATTAATCTGGAGTATACAATATGTATAAAAGCAGGTTAAGAGCTTTTTGTTACATATTCATATTCACCCTCCAAAACAACAACTCTTTCTGTGTGATTAGATTTATTTTTGGAATACTAGATTTAGTTTATTCTAAATCTGTTTTCCCATTGAACACTTGTGATTGCTTTTTTGAATAGTAAACAAAAACAAAATGCTGAAGAGAAAACCGCTGCGTAGAAGCTCCACGTCCAAAAAATAGGACCAAGATTCCAGCTCATTCTCATTAAATGAACATAAAACCCATATATTTTTTGAAGTGTTTATTCAAAATCTCCTTGAATATCTGAAAATATAATTCCATAGTTGTGCGTTACTAATAAGCAAAGCATATTTCTAAATGAGGAGAAAAGTTAAAAACAATTCCACATGCTGCAATGAACACATATGTAGCCTGCTTTTCAGGTGGACACTTAAATAAACTGATACACTCAAGCTAACAATTTCCAGTATTCATTGCTACATGTCAATAATGCATTTAAAATTGGACAAATTTTGGCATAGACAACTTGTAAAAAAAAATGAATTGCAAAAGGAGTCAATTCACACAGCAGACAACTGGATAACTACTTTACCTACCTAACTAATGAAAATCCCTTTTCATACAAACATTCAACCCAGGCAGTCTGTTATTTCCACGTAGGAGTCGCTGTACAAAAATAGTTTCTCCCTACAATGATATTTGCATTTGCAGGAGCGCTAAATACTTGGAGTGGATAACTGGTTAGAAATAAATGAAATTACAGATAGAAAGCTAATGTCGAACTAATAAACTGGAGAAGATCACTGATTCAGTAGCCTGTTTAATTGGGAAAGTGCTTGTTACTACTTTAAACATAGCTGCATTTTTCCCTTTGAATTGAGCCACTGTTCTGAAGACAATTTGAGCTTGAATGAACACTGCATTCATTTATCGCTGATAGCCCTCTGCGGATTCTCAGCTATAGGTTCAAATCTTGTGTTAAATCAGTGGGAGCAGCTACTCTTTTAGGATTGGGTGGCCTGGAGCTGGAGTGTATATCATCAGATGATTATAAACGGAAAAATAAGGCATAAGACTGATATGAGTATCTCCGTTTTAGTGGGCTGTGGATGAATAACCTACACGTTCTGAACTGTCATGGCATCCTTGGGCCAGCTGTATGAATCCAGAGTGAAGGAGTCGTAGTCAGAGTTATAGACTTGGGATAAAATAAAGGCCTCTTTGTCTTTGGGTTCAGGGTACCAGGAGGCAATGCCCTGTTTGTAGGCATGGTCTACAATCTGAAGAAAAAAAAAGGGGTTTGGGAAGAATGAAAGAAACGAAGTGAGTGAATAGTTGCTTTACTGCAGAGTAGAGTGTGACAGATTTGCTCCTGTTTGCTATTAAAAACCTATGCAAAGTCAAAATTAATCTATTTGTGATTAACTTTTATTGGTATTATAGGGAATATAACAAAGTATGCAATGAAGTTTACAAACTTAATGGCATAAAATCTTTGGTAGATATTCAGTAGTTTTGCTTGAAGCTGATTATTGTTGAGGGGAAGTTCAAATGAGATACTTTGTTGCATGCTGGTGTATTATTGTATTACGTTTTATACACAGTATTTGATTTTGTGCTGATTTTAGCTCACTAGTATTAGTGGTAACGTGAAATAAAAAGTTAAAAAGAACAGCATATATTTGAGATGTAAAAAGTTTGTAACATTATAAATGTCTTTAGTGTAACTTTTGATCAATTTAATGCATCCTTGCTGAATAAAAGTATTAATTAAAAAAATCTTACTGATCCCAAAATTTTGAACAGTAGTGTACTTAGCAAAATTAATAGAGTTCTAAATTTAGCATGATCTCATTCCATATTTTACGGGCGCTGAAATGTAGAGTTGGCTAAGAATTAATATCTGAATAAAATTAATAAAACAATTTCAACCACGTTCTGTGTACTAATGAATTTTGATTTTGTACTAATGCTTTTTAGTACACTAGCACCTAATGCAATCATGAAAAAGTAACTGTGCAGCCCTGTTTTACTGTGAAATCCGACCCGACAGCTCTTACAACCTACTTTGCTATATTAATAAATCTCTTAATATAGCATGAACTCATTCTATATTTCTTACGGGTGCCAAAATGTTAGAGTTGACTAACAAGCCCTGTTCTTGTAGTAATTATCCTCTACATATGAGATATATGTAATATATATAATATATGAGACTGACCTTAACAGCAATTTTGAAGGATACTTCTCTGATGGTCTTCAGAGGGGGGTACAGTCTGCCCTCAGCCAGATGCTCCTCAGTAACCATGTCAGAAATCGCCTGAAGAGAAATCAAAGCCTTAATGTTAGCTTTCGATCTGTAAATAAATTTGTAATCAAAGTGTTTTGTACTGAAGCACACATTCATGTTTCCTATTGTTGGCTCTTTACCTCTGCTGTAGTAAGAAAAATGTTATCCGAGATGTGGCGAACACCACAGGCGATGACTCCCAATGCTACTCCAGGGAACACATAAGCATTGTTTCCCTGGCCAGGGTAGAAGCTACGACCATCTGCCAAAGTGACTTTCTTAAAAGGGCTTCCGCTGGCAAATATGCCCCTTCCCTGTGACACACACACACACACACACACACACACACACACACACACACACACACACACACACACACACACACACACACGCCTTTTAAATTGATGGCTTTAGTCAACACCCCTTTCACCAGTTTTATTCATAAGATTTCAGTGAGTATTACCTCAGTGAGTGTGTAACACTGCTCTGCTGTGCACTCAGCTTTGCTTGTGGGATTGCTGAGGGCAAAAATAATTGGGCGTTCGTTGAAAGTAGCCATGGTCTTGATGATCTTCTCAGTGAAAGCACCACTTATAGCAGCCACACCTGTAGATGGTTTGAGGTTTGGTGTTTATAATCTCAAATCATTTTCAAATAGTCACATTTTGCTGCATTTAGCATAATGAACAGAAATACACTGACTGACATTTGTTGAAATCTAAATGTGTTCTGTAATTATGCCCACTAGTGGCTTTAATATGCCATTGCAATTCATACAGGATGAATAAAAACTAGTAAGATGCACAAAGCACCATTCCAACTATAAAAACACATGAGAATGCGGTAGAATATCTGCAATCCTTCAGTTTCATAACATCTAACTACTCGGTTCTCAATCCTGTAAAAAAAACGTAAAAATAAAATGTGTATATATAAGAACAGCGTTATTGTTAACTAAACTATTAAAAATCATTTTAAGTAAGTGAAATAATGCTGAAATAAAATGAAATATAAATATTATAATGGAAAACTTGTACTTAAAAACCTTGGTAACCAAGTGAAATATATTAATGTTGAAGTACTAAAACTAAAATATTTATTTTATATTTTTAAAAAGCAAAAAGTGTTATTTTAGTATATTTACATAGTTACAATTATAGTACTTCGTAAGATTGTGAATTAGCTTTTATTTTTGTTCAGTTTTCATTTTAAGTTTAGATTAGGTTTTGGTAATCTTGTGATTTAGTCACTTTACTGAAAAAAACAATAATAGAAACGACAAACGCACATAATTAAATTACAAAAATTAAAATGAAAACTGAAAAACAAAAGCTAATTCAAACTATTAATAAGTATTATAACAGTACCTTTATAAATAATATTAAAATAACACAATATATATATATATATATATATATATATATATATATATAGAATGGGATCAATCACTCCTTACCAATGATAGCTGTGGGCTTGATGGTTTCCACCACTTCCTCTAGAGTCTTTATGTGTGGATGATCTTGGGCAAATTCTTCCTTCTCATGGTTCAGATGACTTCTGCCCTAATGGACCAAATGACACAGAATAACAGTTTTGGTATAACGTTTAATTTTGGAGGTGTTCAAATGCAGTTTGTTGCTTTAATTTATGTTTTGACATTTTGAATGAAGCCTACATACATTTGTATATTCAGATGTTGAGTAGGAGGACAAATATAGCCTTAAGGAAAGAAATGTCAAAAAAGGACAAACTACTGTGGGTTTGATTGTTACCTTGACAATTAAGCCTTTAGAATCCACCATCCAAATCCTCTTGACAGCCTCAGCATGAGGTACACCTTCCTTGGCCATGGCCATTATCATTAAGTGAGCAATGCCTAAGGCGGCCTGGTCATATGACAAAAAACAAACATCTCATAATCCTGGAATTCCTGGTATAAATGTTTTGTAATAGATCTTTTATTTGTTATTTCTCAGTAAAAGTTTGTTGCATCTTTCAATTTAATCCACATTACCTCTCCTGCTCCCTGAAATACGAACTTGTGGTCAGAGAGTTTATTCTTTGTAATCTTAAGAGCAGCAAGGACCCCAGCAACAGCAACAGAAGCGGTGCCTGAAAAAGGTGGGGAAAGAGATGAACAAACAATTTTATGGCTCTAAAACTATAATTTTGATATTACAATATGCATACTTACTTACCCTGGATATCATCATTAAAGGTACAATAATGGTTGCGGTATTTATTGAGAATACGAAAGGCATTGCTGTTGGCAAAATCCTCAAACTGAATTAGGCAATTCATCCCATACCTGAAATAAAAGATTGAAAAAAATGATGACATGTTTGTACAGTCTGTAAGTATTTCACACACATCATCTTCCCCTCTAGTTCAGTTGTTTCTCAATTCCAGTCCTTGCGAAATCCATTGAAGTTTACTTCACTACGAAACATTCATCCATGAATATGCCCTACGCCACTGCCTGCAGCGTCTTCTCACACACAGACGAAACTTACTAGAGAAGTGTGAAGTGTGACGCAATATACCTCTGTAAATAAATACAAATTAAATTCACGTCTCGCACACTTTAATGGCCTTTGAATGGAACATATACGCTCCCTTCAAACTGGAATCATGGCGGAATATCCTACGAAGTCTGTTGAATAGAACAAACGTCTGAAGTGATAAGAGATGCATACAAATTATGCAAAGCAGGGGGTCGCGAGGACTGGAATTGAGAACCGCTGCTCTAGTTAATTGTTAACATGAGAACCACCGAACCGAATCATTAAGTCAGTTAAACTGGTGAACGAGATCATTCAGAACGGATTTGTTAACAGGATCAATGGATTCACTGAAAAGATCTGGCTCAAAATATGACTTGAACAACATGAGAGTACGTAAATCACCTTTCATTTCCGAATTTTAGTTTCAAACATACTTGTCGGTGACAGCTTGCATGAACTCGTCAATGAGGTCATCGTATTCTTTGCCCCTCACTCTTTTGTGCTTTAAGCCGATGTACAAGGGGTCATCTAAGAGGGTCTGAACAAAAACAAAAAGAAATGGGTTAAAAAAGGACAACAGGGTAACAAACAGGGACAAATGATCCAATGAAACCTATGAACAAAGTACAGTTGTACAGTATATATATATATATACTATATATACTAACATTCAAAAGATTCATTCAAATCTAAAATGACAGTGAAGACATTTATATTGTTACAAAAATAAATGCTGTTCTTTTAAGCTTTCTATTCATCAAAGAATTTTGAAAAAAAAACAAAAATCTGTTTTGCCAACACAGGAATAAATTGCATTTTAAAATACATTTAAAAAGAAAATAGTTATTTTTTAAATTGTAATAATGTTTCACAATATCACTGTTTAAAGGGTTAGTTCACCCCAAAATTAAAATTCTGTCATTAATTACTCACCCTCATGTTGTTCCAAACCCGTAAGACCTTCGTTCATCTTCTGAACACAAATTAAGATATTTTTGATGGAATCTGAGAGCTCTCAGACCCTGCATAGACAGCAACGCAATGTTTCCAGGTCCAGAAACGTAGTAAGGACATCGGTAAAACAGTCTATGTGACATCAGTGGTTCAACTTCAGTTTTGCAAAGCTACGAGAATACTTTTTGAGCGCAAAGAAAACAAAAATAACAATTTATTTAACAATTCTTCTCCCCCGAGTTACGTCTTCCGCCATTTTGGAGACTTACCCAAGAGCGTAATCAACATAATCAGCGTTGTTTACGTTTGGAGGAGAAACCGTGCACATGAACGTAATCAGCGTTGTTTATGCATAGGGGAATGCGTGCGTATGTGTTGTAATACTCTAAAATGGCGGAAGATGCAACTCGGGGGGAGAAGGATTGTTGGATAAAATATGTGTTTTCTAATTTCTTTGCGCTCCAAAAATATTCTCGTAGCTTCACAAAACTGAAGTTGAGCCACTGATGTCACATGGACTGTTTTACTGATGTCCTTACTGCGTTTCTGGACCTGGGAGCGTTACAGTTGCGTTGCTGTCTATGCAGGGTCTTAGAGCTCTCACATTTCATCAAAAATATCTTAATTCGTGTTTCGAAGATGAACGAAGGTCTTACGGGTTTGGAATGACATGAGGGTGAGTAATTCATGACAGAATTTTCATTTTTGGGTGAATTAACTGTATTTTTGATCAAATAGCATAAATGCAGCCTTGGTGAGCAAAAGAGGCTTATTTCAAACACATTCGAAGAAGAAAAACAAAACATTACCGACTCAAAACATAGCGTAACTATGCTATTCTTGTTTTACCTGATTATCAGTGCCAACATCTAGCAGCACAGGCAGGCACTGCTGAGGTGGCACTCCTCCACATGCTGTATACAGAGCTAGTTTGCCCACTGGGATCCCCATTCCATAGCTGCCTAGGTCTCCTAATCCCAGGATTCGTTCTCCATCCGTCACCACTATGGCCTATTAATGCACATACAATGAAACATCCATCTACTGGCACCGAATGACACTTTAGCACTCTGAACATACCTTGATGTTTTGCTCCGGCCATGAGTTCAGCATGCTGGCAATATGCCCCTTGTCATGGATAGTGATAAACAGCCCTCTATAAGAAAAAAAAAACGGTCAAATTCACATGGGCCTTATACTGTATGTTCGCCATGCAAGAACTGGTTGGACTGGTCTGAATGTTTATAAAGCATTTGATTCAGAATTGGTCCAGCTAAACAAGTCGTTCCAGGTCCGTAGTATGTATATACCTCACCTTGGTCTTCTGAAAGCAAGGCCATACTGTTGGCAGGCCAGGCCCACAGTAGGAGTGTAGACAATAGGCATAAATTCCTCTACGTCAGAGGTTAACACACGATAGAAAAGCTTCTCATTTCTGTCTTGCAGGGTCATCAGCAATATGTATCTGCAGAGTTAAAAGGGTTATTTTGAGTATAAATGGGAAATGGACCAAGAAAAGTATCATCACTGTGCTTAGAATTGGCATGGCTCATTGCAGAGTATGTACTGAATGTTTCAGTTGAAGATTGGTTACTTGTCAAGAGGGTTACTGCGTGTCTCATAGCTCTTCATGACACGAAGCACTTGGACATCCTGAGAGAGGAAACAGGGAGGCAGCAGGCCGTGGATACCCAGCTGTAACCTCTCCTCCAGGGTGAACGCCATGCCCTGTTAACACAGCACCATAACTTCATTAACAACATGTGACAGTTGTGAATTTAAAAGAAAAATGTGCACTCCTCCTACAGTCCGGTTTAAATACAAATTACCACCCTGAAACTGGGTCTGCACCGGGCAGGATTCCAGCTTAGGGTAGATACATCACATGTTGGATCTATTTATTTCTGACCAATGGGACGTAAGCATGGCCACCCTCCCCTGTTGGATTCTCCACTCACTGTTTACGTCTAACAGTTTCCATCCATCATGGCTTTAAAGTTCTACACTTCTCAGTCATGCCCATTCCTCATCTTAGCCTTAAAGTCTTTGCAAACAGGATACAGATTGCAAAGTAACGTTTAAATGGACACATTTTCATGACCCAGCCAAAAGTGATTTGAAAAACTGCTGAGACATATCCTGCAATGCTTGGTAGGGGTCAAAGTCTTTGAAGACTTTGCTTTTAGATTAAAGATCTCACAATGTTACTTTCATACTTTCTTATCTGTGGGGACTTTGGCATTACATAATGTTATAAAATCGCATCAAAGCACCGGCTACTAACAATCTAAAACCTGCTTATTCACCTAGATCATAAGTGCACTGAGTTTGGCCCCTAAAGATGCTTACTTTGTTCAAGTGGGGGTTCCTGGTGATATCATAGCCTCGTTTTTTGGTGAACACCGTGCCCTTGGAGTTCACGCCTGAGTGACAGACCCTCACTGCCCCTATGATAGCAGGAGGGAGAGACAGGGGACTGGAAAAAACCCTGCACAGCGCCAGCACACTCTTACCCGAGAGAGCGTTCATGATTCCTGCAAAATGAGAAAAATCAGGTTCAGAGAAGCTCTTTTGGAAATTCACTATATTGGAAACCATGGTTTTGACAAAATACCAGCTGGTTTGGTGACATGTTTTCTAGTTGGTAGACCGCATTAGACTAGCAAGAAACCAGATGGTCAAGCTGTTTTGTTTTGTTTTTTTTTTGTCCAGCTAATGACCAGCTAGTGTAATTTACCAACTTAAGCAGGGGTTTCCAAAAAGATGATTTTACAGTAATAAGTCATTGCAGTAAAACTGGCGCATAAACTGTGGTTACCATGGTATTTTTTTTAATAATAAACATGACTAATACAGCCTTTTCAAGTTCAGCTAGTTCGTCCTCTCACGTGTAAACAAGGCCTTTAGGTAGAACACAAATGCATTATGTACTGTATTGTGATCTGTATTCACTACGCTTCTTTATTTTAACAACAGTATGTGTTTCAGGCTAAATGCACATTATGGAGAGGTTCAGCATTGTCATTGTTCTTTAATAAGATATAATAACGTTATTTGTTTACAAGCAAAGCGCATACCTGAGAACAGCCAGTCCACCGGCAGCTTCTGCTTCACTAGGTTTAATCCAAACGTTGACCTGCAGCTGCCTGTCTCCTCAGGCTCGCGTTATCTGTAGATGATGTTGTAATCGATTGATAGAAACGATCCAGGTTTGAATGACATTGACACTTTTGCTTCCCAAACCTCGCCCTAGGCCCGCCCCTTTTGGGCAGAAGTGGCCAATAAAATGAGGCGACGCGAATGACGGCGTTTCCATATAAAAGGAAAATTTGTAGTCCTGTCTGACCGCTTCCCCATATTTTTTGTTTGTTCGAGCGTTTAAAATATGCATAGTAAAACCGGGTACTCCCTTACAAAAATGAACCATGGTTTTACAAAAAAAAATAAAAAATACCTTGGTTACTATAGTTAAAACAATGGTAACCACAAATTAACCATGGTTTTGCTACACTAACCATAGTTTAAACATAGTATTTATAGTGAAACTGTGGTTACAAATGGTAATCAATACGCCAAAAAAAAACAAAACATGGTTACTACGATTTTACTATAATAAAATCATGGTTAATTTTTGTAAGGGCTTAAACGTGTACGTCGCACAAATTCACTAACGTTACCCTCAAATATGTTTTAATAAACATAAGTAAGCTGGTTTGATCAATCAATCTAATTTAATTGACAGAAAAAAAAAAACACGTTTCTGCATTAAAACATGAAACATGCTGGAAAATATAAGACTAGTCTAAACGATTGTAAAAAAAAAAAAAAAAAAAAAGTTACTTTATTACAGCCAGCGTTTACGTCTCCGCACATGAGAAATTCAAATATCTTTTTCTTGGAAACTGTACTGTTCATGTAGCTGTTGATTATGAGTTAAATAATGTATTGCTCTTCTTTTACAATGCAACTAATAACAAATACATATACATACTTAAATATGACACTAAATCATCCCAAGGATTGTATTTAGATAACACCATTAAAAGACAAAGAAAACAGCTAAACCAACATTAAAAATACTACAGACAAAGACTAACTAAAAGTAAACAGAGAACCTAGATGAACCAAAGAGGCTCTTTTAGGTACAACCTTGAGTTGAAGTGTCATCAATGTGAGCTTCATCTATAAACTGTACTGATCAAATACCAAAAACCTTGCAGTGGTTAATAATTAAACAATGTACAGTGAAAACAGTGAAAAGTTAAACATATAAAACAAAGAAATAGTTTCAAGTGATCAAATAACATCTAAAAGCTGTTTAAAAGTGTAAAAAAGATGTATAGTGCATTTACTGTCTTCCAGGGGTCTATTGCAGGCCATCTGTGGTCACTGCTTAATTACTGTGCTGAAGTGCACAATTAGTCCCAATGACAGAAGTCCAGTAGACATTCACTTGTAGGAGGTGAGTAGTGAAAGATCAGGTTGGAAATGAATGACTCAGATCACAACGCTTGTGCCACTGCGAGAGCTCTTATCCTGTAAAAGAGAGATTATTTATGAGACAAACCATAACAATTATTTACAATTACAAGACACTTTTATCAAAAGTGACTTAAAACGACTAAAAATGCTATTTTATTTGTGTTCAAATCACATGCCTTCTCTCCATGTCAGCAAACCCAAGGGATAGTTTTAAACCCATAAATAAAATTCCGTCATTTACTCAACCTCATTTCATTCCAACCCTGTATGACTTTTTTTGTTCTACGGAACACAAAAGATGATATTTTGAAGAATATGTTTTTGTTCATTCAATAAAAGTCAAACAAGCCGAGACATTTTTCAAAATACCTTCTTTTGTGTTAGCAGAATAAAGAAAGTGAATAAATGTGAATAAATGATGACAGATTTTTCATTTTTGGGTAAACGATTCCCTTTAAGTGTGTCCTTTTTGGGACCACAGAATATAAAAACAACTTCTTAGTGATGAGCAAATCATAAATCTACATGCTTACTGAGAAGTGGTCACTCCTCCTGCTGTGGCCAGGTAAAATATCAATGGAAGAATAAGCTGGTGGTTTCTCAGACAATCTCCCTTGAGATCGCTTCCCCTTTCTATAACTGTCCTCCTCGTCTGAACTCCAGGAGCCTCGACGCGGAGAAGGCGAATAGCTCCTGTCTCTGTGGTTCGTCGCACGCTCCAACTCCTCCAGAAGCTCCCCTTTACTGCGAACACGCAGATGAGACCTATTCGAACCTGAAACACCCCTGCGTCCTGCTGAACCTCTGCCTCCACGCCTGTCGTCCCTGTCCGACTCGTCACTGTAGCTACGCTGTAGCTGAGTCACTCTCCGTGAAGATGATGGCTCCCTCCAGGAATCATCACGATGATGGCCATTTCGGTTAGAGCTGCCACTGGAATGATTAGACTGCCGCTGTCTTCCACCTTCATTGGTCCGCCGAGAGCTCTGTTTTGCTCGGCCCATGATGGGAGGCAGCTGGATGACCCTGCGCTCCACACCTTGGACACCCATCTCGTCCAGGGCTGAGAGCATGCTGGGAGGCCTGGCTGATAAAGCAGCTTGGGGTATGGGTTGAGGTGGTGGAGTTACATATTGGGGTTGTGGGGCTGCATATTGATGAGGAAGGTTTTGGAGCGGGACTGCTATGTAGTGATGTTGAGGTTGAAGCATTGGGGCAGCCATATCCATCCCTCTTACTTGGTTCTCCAGAAAATCTAACATCTGTTTTTTACCACGTACACTTCCATTTATGCTACCATTGGAATGATATCCGAGGGGAGGTACCATTGGTGGGACAGGTTGAGGAGGAGGAAAGGCCATCGGGGCCATCGGGGCCATGGGAAGGTTGTGTTTGGATGAAGGTTCAGAAAAAGACCCTGTGGAGGACAAATTATTAGTGTCAAGTTATTAATGATTAGAAGCAGCACTACATACATTAACAGATTAATAAAGGAATTTATACTGACCTGAATATAGTAAAGGGTTTCTTTGAGAAGATGCATTTGAGGCAATGGGGGCATAGATGGGCTGGCCATGGAGCCATGGTACCATTGCTTTTTGAGCTTCACGCATCATCTTGTGGTGCATCACCGCTAAATAGACAAATGAACACGGAAGAAATATTTCACTGTTTTGTTATTCAGTACAATTACATTTTATAGGGTGGACTGTGAAAAAAAAAGTCACTTGGTATTAGAAGACAATAAATTATTATAAATGTTATGTTTTTATTATTTGAAATAATATGTAATAATAATATTAATAATAATAATAGAATATTTATAAAGGACATAATGTTGCATTGTCGTAGTCCACAATAAATTTTCATTGTTAAAATGCTAGAAAAAAAGACAAGGTTCCACAATATATATATATATATATATAAAATCATCAAAAAAATATATATATAATATATTACATATATACATATAAAAACATATATTATTATTATTATTATCATTGACAAACTAATCCATTATGTGGAGTGTGATTTTGTCATCAGTAGACATTTATTTTAAGGAACTGATATCCAGCAGAAGTAGAACACTGTGAATATTGTTTTAAAAATACTGTAACATATTGTCTGGTTTGACAGATGCACAGGCAAAGATACTAAAGGGATAAAGAGTGAATGCACGTGGATACCTTCTTCTGGGCAGCAGCAAGTGCGAGGACAGCAGGGACAACGGACATAGCAGCAGCAGTTCTGAGGACAGCACTGGCAGCAGCAGATACAAAACAGTATGATGAGGAGCAATCCACCGAGGACGATGAGCAGCACTGTCAGCCAGTCTGAGAGGAAGAGGGGGTATGATCAGCATCAGCATCAATAAATGTTTTTGTGGTTGAATACAAGTCTTCAGTGCGTTAATACTTACGATATACAATGAGTCTGATTTCTTTGTCGGAGTCTCCCACGACATCACCAGCTTAGAAAAAAAGACAAGGTTCCACATATTATTAAAATTAATAATAAATTATAAGTAATAAATAATAATAATACATTATTATGAATATTATTGTCGTTATTATTCATATTATTTAAAAGAATACTTATATTATTCATAATAAACATATATACATATAAAAACATATATTATTATTATTATTATCATTGACAAACTAATCCATTATGTGGAGTGTGATTTTGTCATCAGTAGACATTTATTTTAAGGAACTGATATCCAGCAGAAGTAGAACACTGTGAATATTGTTTTAAAAATACTGTAACATATTGTCTGGTTTGACAGATGCACAGGCAAAGATACTAAAGGGATAAAGAGTGAATGCACGTGGATACCTTCTTCTGGGCAGCAGCAAGTGCGAGGACAGCAGGGACAACGGACATAGCAGCAGCAGTTCTGAGGACAGCACTGGCAGCAGCAGATACAAAACAGTATGATGAGGAGCAATCCACCGAGGACGATGAGCAGCACTGTCAGCCAGTCTGAGAGGAAGAGGGGGTATGATCAGCATCAGCATCAATAAATGTTTTTGTGGTTGAATACAAGTCTTCAGTGCGTTAATACTTACGATATACAATGAGTCTGATTTCTTTGTCGGAGTCTCCCACGACATCACCAGCTGCGTCGATGGAGCAGAAATACATGCCGTTGTCCCACCACATGACCTCATTGATAACCAGGTCAGCACCTGTGAAAAACATACAAAAAATATATATATATATATAAAACATATTTGATTGTAATTAACAAAAATCAAACAAATATAACATGTTGTACATTGTTAGGAATCAGCTTATATATATATATATATACCAGCTTTTCTAATGCCTCTAAATTATCAACGTGATCAAAACTTGAAGCTGAAAAATCTGTTGCAAACTACCACATTTTTTCTACTTTTTAATAGTAAGTTTTAATAAGCCTCTTAGTATAATTATAAACATGTCCACCTTAAACTTAGGTTTACTTAATTATATATATACATCTTTTTCTTTTTTTTATAAAAATCATGGTAAAATGTAGGTATCAAATATGATACAACAGGCTTTAGAGGAACATTTATTTGTACATGCACTGCATCATATGTTTTGCCCCCCAAAATTAAAACTACAGAGCTTTGAACATAAAACTAAACATTTAAATATCATCTTACTAATACATATTATTGGGAGATATAAAGTGACAACTGATATTTATAAGCATTTCATGCAAGTAGTTTGCTATACTATTATAAAAATGTCATCGATTTACATTACAAGTTATCAGAATTTCATCTTATTTCTCTTCCATATAAATAACAACAACTGTACCAAATTGCATAATTTTTGCTCAGTTTGGGCCTTCGAATATTTTTTTTTCCTCTATATGTGTGTGCTCCATAT